TCGAATTTTGTGACGGTCGCGTCGTCGGCGTCATCTGGCGCGCTTCGTAGATCCCTATCGAGCAGGCGGGTACCTGCAGCCCCTTTGTGTTGATAGGCCGCGCGACGTGCGGATACACAATGCACGAGACTGTGCACCGCACGTGAAGTGTTACGTTTGTTCGAGGTTATTGTGCGCACGTTATATACGTTTTACTTAAACACGACTTCCATTGTTTTGATGACGGTCGAGATGTTATGCGGGCTGAATGGAAAGATTAACGCCGCGCGCTAGATAAACGTGCGTACAAATTTTTCACAGCTTTCTTTTGCAGTTGTTGGGGGGGGGGGGGTGGTGGGTGATCGGGTGGCGAGAAGTGGGGTGGTTGGCCTGGGATGGGGGCTTCGCCTGTGAAATTAAGGAAAAAAAGTAACGACGGCTTCGCGCCACGGAAGCTAACGGGAGCCGTCCTTCCCCACGGCCGCTTTTCCGTGGCCGCGCGCGCCCGAGGCGGCGTCGTCGTCAGCGGAACGTTCTGAACGTAGGTTGCTCGCAGGTTTACACGGACGGGCGGGCGGGCGGGCGCGCGAGTGGCATCGGCACGTTTACGGGACCACCTGCGGAGCCTCGGCGGCAGGTGACCGGAAGGGTGAAACACGAGAAAAGACAAATAGCGATGATCTTTTCAGCGACCGATTTGCCCCCCCGCCCACCCACGCCACACCCCCCCCCTTCACCTCCCCCCTTTACCTCCCCACGTCTCGAGTGAGAAAGCACTAAGCGGTTCAGTAGCCGTGACCGGGAGCCGGCTAATTGATGCCCCGAGCCATTGTGGTGGGCTTTCGCTATGATGCCAGCTTTGGAGTTGGCGCGGCCGGGACACCCCCTCGCCCCCCTCCCCCCCCCCAGGAGGAGAGGGACGTTCCCACCGGCTCCTCGCCCCGCTCGGCAATTAGTCTCGTCGTGCTCCCGCCTTTGTGCCGGTGACAACCGCCCCTGCCGGGCCCAGACATTCCCGGGGATTCCGGGTTTACTCAGCCTCGCCGTGGAGGCCCCCCCCCCAGACTGGACCGCGTGGGACGCCGGCGGTGTTAGCGGCTGCCGCCGGCTCGGTTTGGAGACGGCGCTACCACCAGGCGACCGTTCGCGGATAGCGGAGTGCAGACATAGCGGGGGTGGCCGGGGACGGCGATGAGTCACCGCTGCGACCGGCTTGTTACTTTCTACGCCCGGCTTGCCGCCGCTCTCTCTTACGCCGTCGTCGTGCCGGTGCGCGGCTCGGCTTTTATTTTGCCGCGCCGGCATTCTTGCGCGATTAATCAGGTGCCGCACCTGTTCCCACCCCCCCCCCCCCCCCCCGTGTTTATTTATTTGTCGTCGCAGTTGAACTAAAGTTGTCACGCTTACGTCATGTCGCGCTCCCCGCTCGCTCGCATGCTCGTAGCGGTGCGGTGCGATTTTTTTTTGTGTCTCCGAATGCCGTAAAACAATTTCCCCGTCATCTCAAACGTAAATACGGGACCGCGTTGGCAACGGCACGCGCCAGAAATGCCGCCTTCGTCAATGCGCCCGCGTGTGTGATGGGGGAGTGGTGGTGTGGCGGTTAGCGCCGCTGCGCTACGAACCCGGCGACCCGGGTTCGACTCTCACGGCCACCACCAGTGACGATAATTTTAACCGGTCCTGGGCCTCCCCTAGGTCCACTCAGCCTCAAATGAGTTACTGGTGTGGTGTTGGCCACTCACCCCCTCGCGTGCCCTGCCGGCCTTTGTAGGTGCTCACTAACAGCACTTGCCTCAACAGTCTGTTAAGGCTACACGGGGGAATCTTTGACTTTGTACTGCTGTTTTTATCAAAACAGATGTGGGACCAGAGTACACTACAACAACGCATGTTGCTGCGCTGCTGCCCTCTGCTGCCCTCTGCTGCCACCGTGTAACACCGCAGCAGCCTACAAACACCTGTTTTGTGCATTTAGTTTGCTCATCCGAGCACTATCCAGGCTCAATCCCCCTGCTCAGCTGCGAAATCTGACGAGACCAGGAGCGATCCCGGCGATCGGGTCACAGTGCTGCGTGCAACACTTCCAAACCTCTCGTGGCAGAATCACAAAATGTGATCCAGGGACACCTCGACTTACGAACGAGTTAGGTTCCAGAGGTCTGTCCTTAAGTCGATTTGTTCATAAGTCCAACTTTACTCCTGTTGAATCCAAACATGTTGTTCGGCATGTAAGCTAAAACACGGGGAATGGCTTTAAAAGTTTATCATCTCATGTAGATGTAGATGCCACTGCTTCTTCTTACTACCACCCTCGACACTTTCACCACTCTTGCGCTTCTGAGACACGATGGGGGTTGACGATGTTCGTGAAAAGCAGAGAGAACGTCATAGTGAACCGCGCGGCGACAAGACATCAACAAAGAATGGCGGTGGCTCCGGCATAAATGCTGGGAATTATGGGTAATGACACCCAAACAACCACCGTCATCTATTGCACAGCGGTTGAATACGACTTTCGGTCCGAACAGGCAACTGGACATACGGACAGGTTTGTTCGTGTGTCTTGAAAGTTCCGTAAGTCGAATGTTTGTTAAGTAGAGGAGTCCCCTTGTACAGAGTTACACTTGCAGCAGTTTCCCCCCCTCCCGTTCAGTGTAGCCGGTGAACACTTCTCAGATACTCGGGTCATGGCGAGGTCGAAGACGAGAAAAAAAAAATAATGTATGCGGCGTAAATATTAACAGATACACGTTACACGTGGAACGATTTACGCGATTGAATGATTTGGCGCTATTTTATGATAAATCTGCCGCCGCAGGTGCGCGGAATCTTAATGCCGACAAAACAGGTCCTTTATGAATTAACCTTTACCCCCTCCACTCCCCACATGTTTCTCATTTACAGTTTATCCCAGTTTAGAGGAGCTATGAGAATGATTGAGGCCCTTTTGCGGGCTTAGAGACAAGACCCTCGCACCGCACTGTACGAGCGAGCGAAAGTGCGGAGTCTATCCAAAGCAGAGGGACGAGAGGGCGTGGAGTGATGGAGCTGGTGGAGGGGGGGGTGGGGGGGCAGTGATGGGGGAGCATGTCCAGGTGTTCGGAATGGGCGATGTTTAATGTTCGCTTCAAAGCCCGCCGCAGTCTCCAAGCTCTCATGTGTTGGCCTCTGTAGTGGGTGCCAAGATTTTGCACGTTCTAAATGGGTGGAGGTATGCGGAGCGGTGCGGAGTGGTTGCGGAGGGCCATAATTCAGCGGCGCACACTGTCCGTGGAACGCAGTACGGGGCTCCTCTGCAAGAATGTTTCTCTAACCACGTTCAAATGCGCTTTCTAACATTTTTCTTTTGGTGGGTGGTGGTGGGGTGCCCACAATAAGTGGGCTTTGAAAAAAAAAAAAACTTGCCTTCAAAATTGTAGCCCTGTTTTTTTGGAACCCCCCTCGCTGTTAGCGGTTTTGAGAACAAACAACTTGGTTTGGAAGAGTGGAGCGGTCGGTTGGCTTCGTCGTCGCTGAGATTCGTGTAAAATGAGAGGGTGGCCTTGTGGCTCAGACGGTCAGAGTGCTGAGAGGCTGCCGCCGCTGAGATCATCGGTTCCACATCTGGGCGGCCACCTGTGATTGAACTCGGTTTTCGAGTGCCGTGAGTTGATCGAGTTGACGGTCTCCACCCGGTCATCAATGACGGCACAACAACAACAAAAAAACCCCGAGCATCTGAAATTTGATTGCGCGTTTGATTTGGCCGAATTAGATCTTGTGAGCATTCAAATATTGGCTAGATTGTCGTGCGAGGAATATTGCCCTCGTGCAGAGTGTAGAAGGGAAAGAGGTGCTCTCTACCATAAGAACAAGAGAGGGTCACTTGAAGGAATCTCAGAGGTAGCTATGTGTTATCTGTCTCTGTGGGCCATTCTCTAACATGAAGGGTTGCACTGATCTCGCGAGATCTGATTGAATGACAACAACAACAACAAAAACGTTGACGCAAAACAAGATCGTACAAAATGTATTGTGAGCATCTTTGTGGATGGGGTGGATAAGATGATATTTGATCTGTCAAACTGTTGGGCCTTCTGGGCACAACTTTTATTGTTCAGTTGTGAATGGGACCCCTTTGTTGATTGTCCCGCAATCCACTGAGACAATACACAAAAGTAAACGCACTTTTGTTGTACCGTGGTGAATCAGGCCCATGGTTTTACCAGAGGGCCTTCGGTATTAACTCCAAATCAACTCGGCAGCATCTCTTTAATGGGCCCCACACCCCGCCGATGAGACTCAGCAAGTAGATGCAGGGTATGCCAGCACATCGTGCCGAGAAACATCGGTCCGTTAGGCCAGTAGGTTAATAGAGTTCTATGTTAAATCTATATATCTCGTTCTTGAACATGTTCTTGTGATTTTTGTTAGTAATAGGTGTTGAAGCAGGCGTTTAATGCATGAGTAATGTTTGATTTCATGGGTGTGAAAGCTGGACATTAACGCCAGTCAACTGTAAAACAAGCTTCTGGCTTTGAAGACAGAAGATGCATGTGCAGGATGCTAGGAATATCGTGGAAGGGGAGAGTAAGGAATGGAGCAGTTTGAAATCAACCGTGGAGAGCAAATGTGTGTGCTTTTTTCCAGAATAGTTATAATGAGCCATAAGGCTCTTTTTCACCGTACGTAGCCAACGGTGCTAATCAAGAGGTGCGGGGGATGGACAACAAACTACACACAAAAAGCAGTTCTAAAGAAATGAGTTTTTCAATCTAGATTTAAAAGTGCATAGCTCCAGTGGCTTCCTAATATCGGAAGGAAGAGCGTTCCAGACGGCCAAAGAAGCGCATCCGAAAGCGCCGCGCGATGCGGTGACCACCGCTCTGTTCGATGGTCGGACAAAAGCTTCCGCTGCTGCGAGGATGACCGCAGTTTGCGTGATAATTGTGCCCCTTATCGAGATCAGCAAGGTATTGTGGTTAATTTGTGGCAAGCATTTCGCGGGTAATGTGGACTTAATGAGAAAGTTTCGCGCGATGGGTGAGGCACATGTGCAGGGATGGAGGGAGGGGCAGGTTCCTGAGACGGATACCGAGGTGGGCAACCAAGCAGGAACTATAAACGAAACTATTTTTATTTTACCAAGTAAGGCCCACTGAGCTATGTTGCTCTTTTTCAGAAGCGACCTGACCACAAATGACAACCCAATGAAGTGACTTGTCACGTGGAAATGTATAGCAGCCAAATAGTCTAAATGCACGTTGATTAGAGAAAAATCTACGCGACCATGGGGAGAGAAACATGCAAACTCCAGATATACAGGCGTCGGGGTCGGGATTAAACCCACGATCTCCTGTATACCAGGTGAGGGAGTTAACATCTCGCCACCGAGAGCCACATTGTGATGATGACGACGACGGGACGATGAGAGGGGATCTTGTTGACCTCACACTGCCGTGGATGTTTGGCTGAAGGAAGGAAGCGATGACATAGTGGCATCAGTGTGGCGCTGCCCATCAGTCATTGTGCACGGACGTTTTTCGTTCGTGTTCTCAATTTGCTGCTCTTTTTTTTTTCATTTCAGCGACATCTTCGACGCGATGTTTCCCGTCACCCACATCGCCGATGAAACGGTCATTCAGCAAGGTAATTCTTTTTTTTTTTATATTAACCGTCAGCCTTTCCAAAAAACCGTACCCTTTCCCTTAGCTGGAAATGCTTCGGTCCTGATGGCGCTGTATTTTTAGTTCGCAAAGTTTGACCTTAAATAGTCCTCCGTTTGCAACCTACTGCGGCATTTGACTTTTTTATTTTTACGCCATCGATTCAGAAGCCGTAACATAACAGCGCGCATTTAAACTGCGAACAGCGCTGTCCATTCCACTCGCCGATGCTTACTTGGCACGCAGAAAAGGTTAGGAATATGGCCTCGCTCGCCACAGCGGATGGAAGACACTTGCCCCATTGTACATGCGCTTAATGACATTTCCCCGTCGCTCGTGCGGCTTAGAAAGGGCCGAGTGCGCCAACCGCACCCAAACCGAGTTGTTGACGTTCGTTTTGACACCGTCGCGGACGCGGCATTAAAATTGAACCTGGTGTGTTTTTTTTTCTTCCCTTCCGCAGGTGATGAGGGAGATAACTTCTACGTTATAGACCAGGGAGAAGTTGACGTAAGTCCCAAGCTTGCAACACAGATCACCTGTTGATTCCACAGTCAGCGCATACGGTGTTCCGGGCCAGTTTTCAGCACCAGACAAAACACATTTAAAGGAGCGTCAATGTCCACTTTTATATTTTTTATAAATATTTTTTTTTTACGTGGCCTTTGAATCATTCAGCAAGACACACTGCGATGCATTGATTCCTGTGGCCTCATTTCTTCTTATATTATTATTATTTGGCATCATTCTTGCAAAAAGTATTTGTTTGATATGGATAGGCGGGATTGTTTTGGTAAGCTCCAACCCACTTGGGGTACAGTGACTGAAAGAAACCTTTGCCAAAAAAAAAAAGAATTCCACAAACTATTCAGACTTTCATCTCTACCCCAGTGTGTGTGTTTTTTTTTCTTATGCTCTGTTAATTTTCTTGGAAGTGGGGCAGATATTTCCTAAGGTGATGTCAGTCCCACATTTCTCAGTAAAGCATGGTCGTTTGGGGGTGGCGGAAGGGGGGGGGGGGTACATTTTATTCTGTTTCCTCCGCCACTCGTTGCTACCCGGACCCCACTGCGAGATGACTGCCGGTCCCGGCACTCAGCCGTGAACCCCACTGGAAGTTCCTTCATGGTTTAATGGCCAAGTCACTTACGCATTCGGCTTCACGGCTGGCGTGATGGTGGGGTGTGCGGGGGGGTTAGTGGAGGGCGGTAGTAGGGGGGGCGCAGTTCACTTGTTTTTTTTTTTGTCTCCGCTAATGAAGCTGGCTTTGACTACGCCAGCACCTTTTTTACTTTACGGTTTCGGGGGGGGGGGGGGGGGGGGTTCTCAGCTGGGCATCGCGCTGCCCGTGGGTGTGTGCGCGTGCGGTGTGCACCCCTGCGCGCCCGTGGTACGCCTTTGTGCGCCTTAACGTCCATCTCCTTTCAGAGGGATGTCCCACTTCCTTGTTAAAAAGCCCAAGGAAGTTCAAAGGGCTGGAAAGTTGAAAGCGTTGGCTCTTCTTCTTCTTCTTCTCAGCGGTGGTGCGGCATTTTCTCTTTAATCTCCCAAAGAGCGTTGCCCACAATTACGGTTTAAACCAATCCGAAATCCATCCTGAGTGGCAAAGGTGAAAAGAAACAAATCTTAAGAGTGTGTCTAATTGCGGTCAAAATTGGTACTGCCACCATTGTGTTGTTTTGTCTGTTTGCGTGTGTGTGTGCGTGGCACAGCGGTTTGTGCCGCTGCGCTACGAACCCGGTGAACGGAGTTCGATTCCTGCTCACGGCCAACACCGGCGATGATTATCTGAACTGGTCGTTGGTCTCCACTAGCTCGAATCAGCCTCAAATGAGTATCCGGTGCGGTTTGTAACCATCGCCACTGTGGGGAGACGAAGGTGGCCGGGCGTAGTGCCGGCTACCCACCCCCTCGTGTGCCTTGTCGGCTTTCGTAGGTGCTCGCTTAACATCACTTGCCTCAACAGTCTGTTAAGGCTGTGCAAGGAATCTTGGTCTTGTGGGCAGCGGTCGTATAGTGGCGGGCGCACTGCACGCACGCACACACACACATACAGACAGATTTTCCCAAGGACCAAAACCTAAGTCATCTCAACACTGTGAGGCTGTCTGCAGACAGGTGAAAAATGTGTCCTGAAGACAGGCACGGAGAGAGATGAGAGGGACACACAAACACGGAGAGACAAGGAGTCAGACACAAGGAATGCTGCTGGTTCGTGTGCCACGTGTTGTATGAAGACGGGCATCTGAAACGGAATCCGATGAACCTCATGGAAAGACGAGGATAAGCAACTCCAAAGTCTGGAAGACAACGTGGCCGGTAATACGTTGTAGCTAGGATTAGGTAAAAAAACAAAAAGGTGGTGCTGGATAGAACGTGTCCAGCATGGGAAAGGACCGGCTACCGACAAAGGCGTTGTAATGGTCTCCACTAAGAAGAAGCCCTTCGACCAGGTGGTGGGATTCTGTTAGGGGGCAGATCATGGATAGGCCGCTTGCGTGTCTTCTGTGCAGCAGCTGTGCAAATCTGACAGGGGGGGTAGGGGGGTGGCGTAGTTTGCATCAAACGGTTATGGTTGCGATGCGATGACATCTTTATCTTGAAATACGGCACCGGTCGTAGGGGGCAGGTGTCGTAGGCGAGCGCTTATGAAGGCTGCCACCGCACGCCAGACGGGCGGTATGACCTCGACCGCAGCCTGATCACCTTTGTCTTTCCAGCGCTGGTGTCCGCAGCACATTGCACCTGGCGCTCACGTTGTGAATGTGTGCGGGCGCTTTGCACAGAGTTGAGTCTGGAGTGCCCGGTTGTGTGTGTGTGCGAGTGTAAGGCATTGGCCACACTCGCGACGCAAGGCCGATTCCACGAAAACACGCTTGATTAAAACATGCGCATTCTCAATAAGCCGTCTGTCGGTTAAGGTTTCTTGATAAAAAAAACTATATTTACTCGAACAATAGATTAATTTCCATAGCAGCAGGGAAGGCTGTTTTTGTATTTTCGTATATATATTTTTTCGGTGGGGTAGTGGCTATAGGGGCAAGGGGGTGTGTGGGTCTGTGGGTATGCAGAGTGGCGAGTGGTAGCGCAGAGGTTAGCGCACTGCGCTATGAACCTGGCGATGCGGGGTTCGATTGCCATGCACGGCCAACACCAGTGACGAATATTGGAACCGGTCCTGGGCCTCCCCTAGGTCGACTCGGCCTCAAATGAGTTCCTGGTGCAATGTGTCAACATCGCCACGAGGAAGACAAAGGCGGCCGGGCGTGGTGCTGGCCACCCGCCCCCTCGTGTGCCGTGCCGGCCTTCATAGCTATTTGCGAAGAGTACTTGCCCCAACAGTCTGTTAAAGCTATACGGGGGAACTTTGTCTTTATTATGGAGTGTGGGGTGCGGGGGGAGGGGCGAGTGGAGGGGGTTATGGCATGAAGGAGGGGGGCGGGTGGGGGGCGATTTCACAGCAGCTGGGTATGGCATACCACTAGAACTAATAGGACACACGCTAGACTGTACTCTCCCGAGCTTTACGTAAACACGTGATATCAATAATACATTGCCGTAGGCTGAAATCTATACAATTCTCTCATTACGTTGACTCGTGCGAGGAGGTTTTTTTTACGTCGTCGTCGCTGCGACAAGACGAACACGCGTGCCCCCCCAAAAAAAATACATTTGTGCCACCTGTGTAAACATCCGTCATTTATATACTTGCGATTTAATTGCGGTGGCTACAAAGGGACATGTAAGAAATGGGGCTTTCAAGCGGTATTTTTTTTCCTCTCCTCCCTCATCCTCCCTCCTCCTCCTCATCCCCCCCTGCTCGTTACGTTGAGATTTAACGCAGTTCAGCGATCGTTGAGCTGCAGGGGTCTTTTAAATCCGTGCTACGTAACAGCTGCGGTCAAATCACTCACTCCCACCCAATGTTTGTCAGTTCAGAATGAAACCTTGTCTTCGTGTGGATAAAAGGAGAAGAGAAAAAAAATCACAGTAATAATACTATATAGGGAGAGAGCGAGAGAGGCTTGCCTGATGTTTTGGGTTTCCAAGTGTTGGAGGAAGGGTGGCTTTGTTCAGCTAGCTCCTCTCTCCCCCCGGTGCTCGATTCGGGCGATGGGTCGCATTGTGTAAAGCCGGCCCCGGCGGAGGTTCGGGCACGAGGCCAAGCTTGGAGGACGGCCAGCGCCGCTTGTCTCCAGCGAACAGGAGGTCGCTCGACTCCGTGCCTCCCATCCCTTACCCACCCCCCCCCCCTTCTTTTCCCTACAAAACCCGGCTCACACCTGTCACTGCGCACGCACGCACATGGCTGTGGTGGGGCCCCTCTCCGCGTGCTGGAAAAGGATTTTAATTAGCTGTCTACTCCACCCTCGCAGCGTCTCTCTCCGCTTGCAAAAGTTCTGCTCGGTTAATTTGTCATTAAAATAATTCGCATTCCTCCCCGATGCTCACTTGTGGAGTTTGGGACTTTGGCAAGAAAACGTTTGTGACGGGAGCAGGGAGCAGCGGCGGGCAGAGGCGGCTGCTGCGGCGGCTGCTGCTGCTGCTGCTGCGTGCGCATCAGCTCAGGGTGGAGCAACCTCTTCTCTACGGGATGAATGATGTGCGAAACAACAAAGTAGGATATGCTTGGTTCTTTCGGTGAAGTCACGTAGAAGGGAAATAATAAAATAATAAAAATAAAACAATAAAATTATCACGACGTTTCGATTGCAACACAAGCAATCATCATCAGGTGTGAAAACCACAGCAAGAAATCTTTTTGAAAAAACGCCACTTTTTTCTTTTCCCTTCTACGTGACTTTACTGAAAGAACCAAGAATATGAATCCCTGCAGTCACGAAAGCTTTAAATTGAAACAAAGTAGGAATCGAGTGTTACGGTTGCTTTTGGTTTGGATTCTCTGTATTGGCCCTATGGTAACTCCATTTTAAAACTTATTTCGGGTCGAAATTGGTTGCTTCCGAACGTTTATCGTCGAATGCTTTGCAACGATGCGTTCCACCAAAAGAACGTCTTCTGGAAGAAATGTGTAAATACAATCATCAGCCATGATTGATCCACTGCTGGATGAAGGCCTTGCCTTCACCGCTCCTACCCCCTACCCAAGCCTCCGCCACCACCGACCAAGATCTTGCGACGTATTAATCCTACCTAGCACCTGCACATTGACAGATTTAATAGATTTTTCCCACCCGGTGGATCTCTTCTCGGCCTTGTTTTATGCATCGGCAAATATATAAATAACAACACAAACAGGGAAAGGTCTGTTCATCACCAAAATAAAATATTCTTTCACTAACACCCTCAAAGTAAGTGTTCACAAACACCCTTATTTTTACGGTAGCATTTATTTAAGCGGAATGCTTTGGACCGGTTTTGACTTCCCTTGAGTTTCATCAGCCGGGTGCGGCCCGTGAAATGTTATAGGTTTGGCATGTGTCTAAAACGCAACCATTCGCCCCACATCATTTGCGAAGTCTCCATACTTTTTGGCCGGATTTGTTTTA